CTGAATTACTAACTTAAAAGCTTTAAAAGTTCTTTTTAATGCAACTTTAAAGCTTTAGTAGCTTTACTATTATTAATTAAGTCTAAAAACTTTAAATTATAATACTATAATAAACTAGTAGTAATACTTTTATATTATATATTATTAAAATTATCTAAACTTTATATAGCTCTCTTAAACTAAAGCTTTATTTTTAGATAGTTATATTTATACCTATAGATAGTAGCTATTAATAGTGAGTTAAAGAAGTTAATAGCGAAGCTATAAAAGTAGTAGTAAAAAAAGATATATTTTTAGTTATAAAATTTAAATAGTAAGTTCTTTTTACTCTTATAAAAGTTAATAAATTTTATATTGTAATAGTAATATACTACTTAAAACGCTAGATATAAAGTGTAATAGAGGTAATATTATAGATTAGCGTAAAGAATATTTTAAATAAGAATAATAAAGTTATTACAAAGATATTATTAAACAACAGAAATATTATATAAGTAAGCTTAGTACATAGATCTGTTAGTATCTAAGAATACCTTGCAGTGTATAGCGTATAGAAGAATTTCTAATATAGATATAAAGTTTCAATTTAATATAATAAGAGTAGGTTCTTAAATAATAAACTTAAAACTAAAGTACTACATAAAATATAACTAGAAATAGTTAAGATAATATATAGTAATAGAAATACTACTTATAGAACTACTATCTTTATTATCTATTAACTATAACTATAATATTATCTCTATTTCTTAATAACTATAATGTAATAACTATCTCTTATAGTTATAATAGCTTTAGTAGAACTTTAATACTACTACTATCTATACAATAGTATCTACTTACTAGAAATAACTTATAAATACTTTTTTATTTTTATTTTATTTCTTATTATTCTCCTTAGAGATCTTTTCTAATATAGTCTATTACTAGTAAATATTACTCTATATTATTTTACTTAAATATAGCTTTACTTCTATTTTAATTGTATTTATAGTAAGATAGATATAAATAGTATTTCTACTTTAAAGAAAGTACTTAATTATTATTAGTATACCTAGAAAAAGCTTCTCTAAAGTTTTAGTAAAGCGTAGATGTCTAGCTACTAAGTAATCTATAATATTAAGATATAGCTTTTAAAAGAACTACTTTATCTTATTAATAAGATTCTTAAATACAAAGTTTTAATAAAAAATAGTAAGACTTACTAACTTTAGATTCTTTTAAAGAATATATATTAAGTAGTAACTATTAATAGTTTTAGTAAGTACTTTATTATTAGTAAAGTAAGCTTTAAGAGTATATATAATAGTAGTAGTTTTAAAAATAATAAAGAAAGTTATAAAATTTAATTAAATACTATTTCTTATAACTATCTTAAAAAAACTTATAAAGATAGTAATAATAAAGTAACTTAGTAAAGCTCTAGTAAGGTAGTAAGATAATACAATTAGTAAGAGATTAGTTTTGTTTTAATCATTACTAAAAAGACTTATAAATTATTTAATATACTAGTACTACGTTTAGTATTAGATTTAAACTACTTATAATTTTAAATATATTTTTAAATTTCTAAAAGTAACTTATAAAATAGAAAAAAGTACGCTTTTACTAAGATTTTAGTATATATATTTTAACTATAAACTTTTAAAATATATTACTCCATTAGTTAACGTAGGTGCATGCTTCGCGGTCTAGTATGCTTCGCGGTCTACCTATGCTAAGACCCTACTAAAACTACCTCTACTCTATAATACCTAATTAACTACACTAAATAGAACTACTAAAGAAAGCTAGAATATAGACTACGCTTTAGGCTATTAAATAAGACGCGACTTTCTTATTATAACGCGCTGCAGCTATCTATAACGTCTCTTATATAACTCTACGCTATTAACACGCTAGATAACTTTTATAAGTAGATTATAGGCTAATAATAATAAGTTTGCATAAGACTAAGGAGAGAGTAATTATTTAGCATATACTTAACCTAGTTAAGCGAGAATTTCTCTCTTGCCTTGCAGATATAGCTAATATAGCTAATTTCTTGCGCGCTAAGCGCAATCTAGCCTAGGTTAGCCTAAGATAGCCTAGTACGTTTATTAAGCGCTAACTAGAGCTCTAAGTAAAGTTTAATTATAAGTATAACTATAAGAGAGCTCTCTATAAAGACCTTATAGCTATCTAAGTCTAGTTTTAGCTAGTAGCTAACACAAAAGCTAAGTATAGCATCTAGAATAAAGATACTTATAACTTTAATAAGACTAGCTTTATAATAGGTATAATATTAACTAAAGCTATAGTTATAGCTTTAGAGAAGCGAGAATAACTAAAGTCTATCTAGCTAAGTAATCGCGAGTAGACTATAGTTATTTAGAGCATTAATATAATAGAATAGGCTATTCTACTCTATATTATCTTTAAAGAGTAATATTACCTCTCTACCTAGTATAAAGAGAAAGCTATACCTTAAAATTAGTTAATCTTAGTTTCTAAGAATAGTTAGACTATAAATAAGATTAGTTTCTAGTAGTTAGAGTACTTTAATACCTATATAGAGAAGCGTACTATAGAATAGCACTAGCTACTTATTATTAATAGATATAAGAGCTATAATACTCTTTAGTTTAAGCAATACTATAAAGAGAAGAAGATTATTACTCTCTATATACCTCTATACTTATCTTACCTACTATAGCTACTTAATATAGATTATTTTAAGCTATTAAAGAAGGCGTATAGCTGCTAAGCTAAGAAGCTAATATACAACTAGATTAGCTATATTATAAAACTTAAGTTTCTACTATACTTTAAGCGCGCCTTTAACGCTGTAATTACTTCTAGTAATATCTAAGAAGAGTTTTAAGGCGCTAGATTAGTTTTATTTAATCTAGAGAGAGTTATAATAAGCTTTAACGTATAGTTACGCACTTCTTTACTACTACTTATTAGTAACTTACTCTAGCTATTATAAATCTCTAGCAATACTTTTAAAATAGAGTTGCAATTAATACTAGTAAAGCAGAAGATTTAGAAGTATATAGATAGCTCTCTAACTTCTATAGTAGAGGCCTTTAAGAAAGTCTTAAAAAGCGTAGTAATAATTACGTATAAGCTAGTATTAGCCTAAAAGAAGATTACTAAGCTTTAGATAGCTAATAAAGCTACTACGCAGCGCAAATTATATAAAAGAAAGCAGGTTAGAGTAGAAAGGTCTATAGTAGTAGAGAATAGCTAGCGTAGAATAGCTTTATAAGAGTTTAGAGCATATAATAATAGAAGAAGAGTAAAGAGGCTAGCGCGCGTTAAAAAGAGTAAACTATTCTAAAGACGCTATAGACGCTATAATAATATAGAGTATAACGCGCGAACGTGTAATTATAAAGTAAAGGTAGCCTCTTAATTTTATTTTAGTATCTTTTATACTATATTATACTAAAGTAAGTTATAATAAGCTATAATAGAGAGGGTTTTAGTAGAGTCTTAGTACAGGTAGACCGCGAAGCATGCTAGACTGCAAAGCATGCACCTACGTTATAAGCTAATAAGTATATATAATTATATTATAATTCTTTTAAAAATTAGTATTAAAATTCTCTAATAGAGTACTTTAGTATTAAAATAGCTTTATAGCTAGTCTAAATTTAGAAGCTTTAACTACTTTAGAGATAGTAGTACTAAAACTCTAACTTTTAGTCTATCTACTTTTAAGAGTAAATAAAACCTTTAGTTATATATTCTTTAGTATACTAGTAATAGACTTTACTTTTTTAGAACTAGTTTATAGGCTATAGAATTATTAGTTTACTAATAGATAATAAACTTATTTAAACTAGTAAAATAAATCTAGTATTAGCTAATACTAGTAGATATAGTAATTAATTACTATAGTAAATAATTTAGGTAAAAGTAAAAAGTAAGAAGAATTATTATAAATTAATCTTAAAAACTTATAGAATTTTTAATTTTTATAAGTAGGTAATATTATAAAAGAGAAAATTTACTTTTGGACTAGCGCCTTAGTAAATAAAACTAGGCTTACATTAATATATTAAGAACGTCTGCTTCTCTAGGTCGTCTTAACACTCTTGTTATCCTATCGCCGTTCAAAGTTAGACAAGATTTCGGCCACACTATCTGCACGAAGCAGCAACAATGATCAGAGATTTGCGACGTCATAGCCAGAGCGTCAGGCGCGCACCAACTAGGCAGAAGCAACTTCAGCGTTCCGCTTGACATCCTCTTAGCTATACGACGTATTCAGCAGAGCCCGGCGCAACCTCTGCACAACCCCAGTTGCGCAATCGCAGTATCGACGTGTGGCTCAGTCTAATTACATACAGGCTACAATCAGGCTTCAGACGATGTTTCGGCACGGCCGGTTTGTGTGCAAGACATCGTAAAGCAAGAACGTCTCGCCCCTGGTAGTGCCTAGGCGAGAACCCTCGATACGTCGTATTTTCGTATAGGTCGATATACGCGCACACGAGTCACGACTTGGGGGCTTGATTGCATCGGACCGCCCCACGGGAAATACTACACAGGCTTCTGAGTCGTTCTGCACTTTGCATCGGAGTCGGAATACCTAGAGAGCTAGGTCGATGTTATTAGGTCGAAGGCTACCGAGTTTCCCCGCCACCAACGCATCTGAATGAAGGCCAAAGCTGCGAAAGTACGCGGCCTCTACTTGCAGCCATGGGTATTTAAGCCAACAAGGCGGCCTGAACCAACAGATCTCTAGTGATATTCAGACTCATCGAGCGCCTTTTCCAGCCTTGCGATAATTCCAGGGCTAGTATCAAACATGCACTTCGCAACCGCCCCAAGCGTCGTGTGTCTCATCACAGCCATCAGGCTTGTATCAGCTGTTGATTCGCCTCTCATCACCCCACTTTGTAAGCTGCTTTAAGCCGACTATCCAACATGACTGGCTAACCGGTGGCAAATGTACAGCTTGGGATGAAGCATCAGAGAAGGCCAAGAGCTTTGTGTCTCAGCTCACTATGTCGGAGAAGATTGGCCTTGTGACCGGGAGTTATGGTAGCGGCCCGATTCTACCTTGTGTAGGCACACTCGCAGCCGTCGAACGCCTCAATTACACCGGTCTATGCATGTCCGATGGCCCGAACGGTGTTAATCGAGCGGACAGCGTAAGTGTGTTTGCGTCTGGGATCACGGTGGCGGCGACGTGGGATAGACGTCTCATGTATGAACGAGGATTCGCTCTTGGAGAGGAGTTCAGAATGAAAGGCGTTCATGTTCTGTTAGGGTATGTCAATCCATCAGCTCTGCACTTTCAGATCCTAGACTCACAATCATGCAGACCTAGTACTGGACCGATGGGCCGCCACCCTCGAGGCGGTCGCGGTTGGGAAGGCTTTGGCCCAGATCCATATCTTGCTGGTGTCGCCATGAATGAGTCTGTTACTGGTATCGAAACGACTGGTGTCCAGACAAGCTCAAAGCATTACATTGGAAACGAACAAGAAACCCAGCGCAACCCTAGTACCAAAGATGATGGGACAGTTATCGAAGCTATATCTGCAAACATCGACGACCGGACGCTCCATGAACTCTACCTCTGGCCATTTGCCAATGCCGTCCGGGCTGGGACAGCATCAGTCATGTGCGCCTACAGTCGCCTGAACCAGACATATTCCTGTGCCAGCTCGGAAATTCTAAGCACCATTCTCAAGGACGAATTAGCCTTTCCTGGATATGTTGTTTCTGATTTTGGCGCCACGCACTCCACAGTGGATTTTGCGGAAGGAGGCCTAGACATGGAAATGCCCGGAAACGTCACTGCAGCCGGTTTCCCATGCTACTTTGGCGACAAGCTCCTTGAGGCAGTTCAGTCGAACAAAGTGTCGGAAGAACGTCTCGAAGACATGGCAAGAAGAGTTATGACGCCCTATTTCCGACTACATCAAGATAAGGACTTTCCGACGATCGATCCTGCGACCGGGCCCGTACTCTTTATTACTCAGCTTGGACACATCCAGGTACCTTCAATGGCTGGAATGTTCACTGAGGTTCCAGCGTTAGACGTTCGCGCCGATCATGCGCGCGGCATCCGCGAGCTGGGCGCAGCCGGCACAGTGTTGTTGAAGAACGTTAATGGGACATTGCCGTTGACAAACCAGACTAGGTTCGCTCTATTTGGGAACGGTCTCCCAGATCCAACCATTGGATCAACATTCGTGCCTGCACCTGGCGAAGACGCTCCAGAGGGCTACGAGATTGGTACCTTTGACATTGGTGGCGGATCTGGCTCTGTGCGACACACAAATCTTGTGAGCCCACTCGAAGCTATACGGAATAAGGTCAAAGCCCTCGGTGGCCGCGTACAATTGCTGTTCGACAACGATGAGATTGCAGCGGGGCGATTTACAACCATTTACCCAACACCCCATGTCTGTTTGTTATTCTTGAAGGCCTGGGCGACCGAAGGCGCCGATAGACCGGATCTGAACCTCCAGTGGAATGCTACTAAGGCTGTTGAAAGCACAGCAGCGCTATGCCCAAACACTATCGTTGTGACACATGGTCCGGGCGTAGTCTTGATGCCATGGGCGGACAACGAGAACGTGACGGCCATCTTGGCTGCACACTATCCCGGAGAAGAGATTGGAAACTCCATCACCGACGTCCTTTGGGGTACTGTCGAGCCCTCCGGCCGGCTGCCCTACTCCATTCCCAAGGACGAAGCAGATGCTGGTCCTCCGATTCTAGTGGTGCCTGAGAACACAACAGATCCTGGCGCATGGACAGAAGACTTTGTAGAGGGTCAGATGATTGATTACCGGTACTTCGACGCCAGTTCTGGCAAAGAACCACTTTACGAGTTCGGTTACGGGCTTTCATACACCGAGTTTGACATGGAGCCGGGTCTTAACGTGCAACTTATGGGCGGCTCGTTGAACCAACGTGTCAACAAGTCCATGGGTATAGCACCAGGAGGAATGGTCGATTTGTGGACCAACGTAGCCGTAGTGACAGTCAACGTCACTAATACAGGTGGCCGAGCAGGTTCCGCTGTACCGCAACTTTACGTATCACTTCCCCAGGACACGACGCCCCCAGGCACACCTGTAAAGGTGTTGAGAGGATTTAACAAACTACATCTCCGCAAAGGCGAGACGAAACAAGCGACGTTCGAGCTCTTGAGAAGGGACCTGAGCTACTGGGACGTTCAAGAGAAAGAGTGGGTTATCCCGAGAGGGCAGATAACTCTTTTGTCAGGGTTCAGCTCCAAGGACCTACGAGCAAACACAACAATCTCAGTGTAGTGTCTTTTTGCAAGATAGATAGCAGAGGACTATACATGCGAGACATCTTAGTATCATCATAGATAGTTACTACAAACTTTGCACGCTAGACTACTAATACGATTGCTACTCTGTTGTAGTTGCTAGAAGTTGAATCTACTGAATGGCACTTACGCAAGTCTCGTGATCGGCCTTTCGTCTTTTCTCCGTATCCTCTTTCCTACCGCCATCCTCGGTAGGGTCTCGCTTGCGTTTCTCGCTCTTTTCCTCGTCTACGTCATCGCTCTTATGCCAGAAGCGATGTGGCAAGGTCTCTTTGTCTGCGATCTCGGCGTCTGTGATCTCCCTCTCTTCTCTCTGCTTCTCGCTCAAACCCGCAGGTAGACACTCGAGGTCCAACGGTCCGGTGTCAAGCCTGAAAAAGACCCGCTGAACAAACTTGGCTCTTGTACGCCGACGCGAAAGATTGTGTCGTAGAGCAGACGATGAGCTAGTACTGCTGAATGGAAAGTAGCTCCCGAAGATGCTGTTGTCTTGCTTGTCCTCCACCTCAAGCATCTGCCACCGTTCGTCGGCTAGTAACTTAACGAGCTCACCTTTACCCCAGTCTTCGTAGATGTCGTTGGGTACATTAACGGTCAACTTTTTCAGATTCTTGAACTGGGAAGCGTAGCGAGCCCAGAAACGCCTCCAGCCAATCATCTCGCGTTTCATGAGGGCTATCTCGGCGGGTGTAGGGCGCTTCGCTGTACGCAGCCAGCCAGAGACACCAGGAACGTCCGCAGGGTATTGAATACTGAGCTCATCAACCATGGCGGCGATGGGCGTAAGACTGAAGACGGCTTGAGTCGGAAGCAACAGTTCACGCTTGTCCGCGTTTTCCCCAACAAAGGTTTTGTAGTCGCCGAAATATAAGTTGCCGTCAATACCGGACGCAGGAGACATGTTTGTGCGTTCGCCAATGGAAATACGAATAGGGATACCGAAGCTTCGTAAGGTGGATACCATAGTCTGTATACGAGACAGAATATCTTGTTTCGGAAGCAGTGTCCGGTTGGGCTCGAGATTGGCTGGAAAGACATCGGACATGAGGGTCTCCCAAGTGAATACGGGCTTCCAGTTACACTTCTCAGCTATCCACCGCAGCGCTTCCTGGACCTCTGGCTTGGAGCTAGGGTCACTCATCGCTTGGTCGTTGTTCTGCTGCGTAGTCTGGCCAAAGTGATGTCGGCGCTGCGTTACATTGATGAGATGAAATGGGTGAAGGACGATGTTTTGAAGACCGTGTATGGGCTTGATGTTGATGTTTGGATACTTCTTGGAGATGGTTTGGAGGCTCTGCAGCAGGTCCTCGAATGAAGCTCCTACGCCCTGCACAACATGATTGCCCAGCTCCATGTGATCGCGTCCGCAGTCTTCGAAGGTCTTGTCATCGAATGCCTCTTCCTCATCACGATGGTGATGCCCTTGAGTTATTCGATACGGTATGGGACCAATTACATCGCGATCGCGACGGTCCTCCATCCATGAGTATAAGCCGATTTCGACGTCTTTTATTCGCGACCAGGCTGTGGCATCGGTAGAGAAAAGGGATCGGTAGGGGGCGTAATCGTGTATCCTCAGCTTCGTCATGCTGTCTGGGCAATGCTTCTGCACACCATCCACAAGACAGCAGACGCGCTGGTGGACTTCCCATTCGTTCCATGTGCTAGGCTGGATGTCAGTACTATGAGCGTTGGTGAGGACTCATGGTGGACAAAACTTACTGGAAGCCTGAGTAGCGCTCTCGTATCGCGAGCGTCTTCAGCTTGCTGCAGATTGGAAAGATGATGCTGGCGACAGAACCGCTCTTGTGCCTTCTGGACATGCGGAAGCCCTGCTTGAAGCGATAGTCGTTGTATGAGTAGCTGTACTCAATCCGAGAGTGCGCAGTGTAGTCAGCCCAATTGGCAACCTCGAGCTCTTCGAGGCGGCCGAACAGCTTGGGGCAAGCAGCAGCCAGCATGCTCCACGTCCATGTCTCTTCCGGAGTCCATACGAAGTCTTTAATGGCCGAGATGTCTAAGCTCGTCAGGCATGGTAGGTTTTCTTCTATCCACTTGAAGTCGTCTATACTCGCCCAATGTGACATTGCCAACTTGTGTACGTGTCGGCGGTTCTCATCCGTGATGCTCTCCTGGAAGCTTATCCACCGTATATTACCCAGGCCTCTGTACTTCCAGTCACCTAGTCTGATGTCGCGCACATCGTTGAGTTGTATGGGGTATTTGTAGAGGAGCTGATTGACGGTGACGCTGCTTGCCATGCCTTTGCAAAGCCTCTTCAGGCTCCAGGCAGCGTCGCGGTCGAGATAGTCCATGACACACTTGAATATGTCGTCGGGAAGTTTGAGTAGCATGCTGCTCTGGCTCGCGGCAGCTTTGGACTTGGGCTGGTTGAGTGCATCGGAAGCGACAGGGCTACAGTCACGACTTGAAGTAAAGTCGGGCATATCGGGCGAGAGATAGTCAAGGTCGTGCAGGCTGAAGAGATTCATCAAGTAGCGATCGTAGCTCATGGGTGAGAGACAGTGGAGTGGGAAGAGAAGAGGGGACAGAGGAGCGAGGGCAGGCTGGGGCGCAGCAGTTGTACCCAAGGAGTGAGTTGCGCGCTGAGGCAACTGACTGTTCACGTGAGTGAGCGAGTGACTGGGTGAGTGATGTGGTGAGGCGCATGGAGGTGCAGAGCCATGTGGGAGTGTTGCGAATGTGAGAGCACAGTCGTGGAAGGCGCGATGGTGAGGCTGGCAGGCGGCGCGCGTAGCGGCGATGCGGAGAGGGTGCGGAAGTGCGGCGCCGCCAAGACACGCGTCGCTTTTCGCGCGCCGACGACTTTCTGCCTGCGCGAACCAACTGTCGCAACACCATCACCCGCCGCACACTCACCCTCGCGCCGACCCCACGCGCATTTCCACCATGGCCGACGCCCAGGTTTTCGAAGAGACATTCACCGTCACCTCCATCAACAATGAGAAATACGACCGCGTCTCCCGCATCTTTGGCACCTCGACCGACAGCCAAATCACCATGTCGCTCGATATCAACCACGAACTGTTCCCGGTAGAAGCTGGCCAGACCTTGAGCCTGGTTCTGGCAACGACATTGGCGCTGGACGGCAGTGCCAAGGGCGACAACGACTCTATGTGGAGGAGCGTCGGCAAGCAGGGTGTTACAACACTGGCCGACATGTACGACTACGTGTGCTATGGGAAGAACTACCGCATGGAGGGTGGTGACGGCGACATCATGTGAGTGAAGCTCGCGCGTCAGCTTTGACTGTACTGGGTGCTGACATCACGCAGAAAGTACTTCGCCAGCTTCGGCGGGCTGCTTCTGTACATGGAGGGCCCTCACAGGAAGCTCAGCGGGCTCAAGATCGACGACATTTACATGCTCATCAAGCACTCATAGTACTACTGTCTTCGCCTCCACCACGATCCAAGGGAAGCAAGCATAGAATAGGCGTTTGGTAGCATTGTGTTGGTATTGGTATCATCTGGTCTAAAAGTTTCGGCACGGCGTCTGGATACCCCCAAAGGACTCGATAGATTCACCCGCCTCTCTTGCGCGAGAATATTACGTTTTCCTTCTCCTTCTCATAGTGTAGGAAATTCAAGCTTCCTGTGCAGTCGACTCACAATCTCAATGTAGTCGCGCTCGTTCTCCGTTGTCAGGATACCGTGGCGGACCAGGAAGTCGAGCACGACCAACGCACAGTTCGGTTTGAATTCGCCCTTTCTCATCCCTTCTTGAACTTCCTCCACACTCCACAAGTAAAACTCTTCGACCTCGTCATCGCCTGGTTTCGGGATTGTGTCTTCGGGAAGCTCGAGATCGTAGACATATTGAACTTCGGGCTGCATCAGGTTCGTCTCTCCTCCTGCTCTTTCGTCTCGGATATACCAGTACGTGACTGTGCCGCACGCCTTCGCATTTGCCCGAACAAAATCCTCGTCGAGCGAAGCTTCCTCTCCACACTCCCTCACAAGACTCTCGAACGGCGACTCACCTGATGCGATGCCGCCTGCAACCGCGTTATCAAGCATCCCTCCATACGTCTGCTTTGTCCGCGCCCGTCTCGGCGTCCAGATCTTTAGTTCCCCGTCTTTCCTCGTGAATGCCGTAAGATGCACACCGTAGGTAACCACGCCGAACAGGCAACTAGCACTCCTTTCCACGTTGAATAACAGCTCCTTCCCAAGGCCATACACAGCGTACAGTTCATTCCGCCACTTGTCCAACACTTTGAAGTGACCTGTCTGCCGCATAGCCAATAGCGTCGTTTCTACCGCTTTCGACCGCTCGTCAGCGTTGGATCCGGCTGTAAGATGGAGGATGCGAGCATCGTCGTCGATTTCCCAGCCAGGCACCCCGCGGAAAACCTCGACAACGGAGGGGAGCATATAGCCCAGCGCATAGTTGTAGCCCGAGACGCGCAGTTGGTAATACGTATTGATGGACGCGATGTATGTTTCCGAGTTGACGTCGGGATACGGGAAGCCGTCGCATTGGTTTATGAGATCGAGGTTCGTGAAAGACATTGTGGATGAATGAGGGGTGAATGTTGTGTAAGCCAGTGCAAGTGCTGCGCCAGCTGGGTGTTTGCGAGCTGCGTCATCCGCTTACCCACACAAGCTTGGGTGGGGGCGGGGTCTTGAAACAGCAACGACCATGCTGAGCTTCGTCCGTGCCTCTAAACGTTCTTTCCAAGAACAGACGAGGTGGATTTCACAGACGATCCGGTAAATATGGCAGTTGCGATACAATACACTTGTCAGCTGTCGAGGTTTCCAAGCGTCTCGTGCTGGTATAGTGTTGCCTGAAGCTAGCAAGTGCACGAATCCATCATCATGTTGCATCGACTTTCTCCAATGTTCTCCAAACCACAACCTTGCTGTCAACGGTTATCTTAACTTTTACCAAGAATGGACACCTCGACTACCAGGATCGTTCTTGTTGTACCCAAACAGGATGTCAAGAATGTAAAGTCTGCCCTCGAGCGGGCCGGACAGTTAGATCGGAGCAGCAAGATCATCCCTGAGTTGGATGGCAAGAGAACACCAGAAGCTGTCGCAAATTCGGCTGGTCCGAGACAAGGTGCTGATCCATCGAGGTCATCTATACCAGAAGCAGACACTGCGGCATCACCAGCAGGAGCCTCGCAGGCACCCTCGAACCTTGCACAGCAGTCACGCTTTCCGAGGCTCCACTTCGACGCGACCAGCGGCGAATATGTCGACCAGTCATTGTTGGAAGATAGAGCTCAGCGCGAAAACCGAAGCATTGAGAACGAGACTTCGAGCCTGGCGGCCGAGGTGCCTAGTGATCGCGACAGTCGTATTAGGTTTCCCATCCTGCAGTTCGATGTGGCTAGAGGAGAATATGTCGAGCCTTCTGCCGCGAATGCGGAAGCCAATAATGCTATAGAGCATGACCAAATGCGCATGCGTATCCCCACGACCATCCCTTTCCCTGCGCAAATGAACGACCCGAACGACATCCTCGATACGGAGGCTTTGAAGTCCAAGATAACAGAAGATCTCGCACTGGGCGAACTTTCCAAAGACGTATCCATCTCACATCACGTCCCGAGCACTGCAGCATCCCCGCATAATGCTCACCAGAGCCCGGTTCATAAGGCTTTAGGAACCGCCCTCACCTTACTTCTGGATCTTGCATCTGTATCGCACACCCTCACGGTCGAAGCACTTGTCACAGCTTTCCCGGATGGATATTCAGTATACAAGCCCATGCTTCTCCTTCCGCACAACTCATTATCCTCCGAGCCATGGCGGACTCTTATCACCACTTATCCATTGGACTCAGAGGAAATGAAAGCAGTATGGCAGGATATGGCGATATCAGTGGGCGCAACGCACGTCGCCATCAACGCGCCTATACCGATATCCACATCTTCAACATCAGCATCACCATCCACCACGACAGGCGAAGAGAACATACTGCGTAGCCCAACCAATCTCACACCTCTATACGGCAACTTCGGCCCTGCACCGACACCGCAAACCATCATCTCACCATCAGCAACAGACTTTGCCGACGCCCTCTGGGTGACTGCGCGCCAAAACGGTATCTGGCAAACCTGGGCGCCGCTCTATACGATGTTCAGTCGTGGCAATGTCAACGAGAAAGCAAGGATAATGAATCTCCCTTCGGTCAACGATCTGGATGTTGCGTCAACAGCCGTCGATCTTTACGCTGGAATCGGCTACTTCGCGTTTTCTTACAAGAAGAGTGGAGATAGACGGAATACAGGTATCAAGCAAGTTGTATGTTGGGAGATAAATCCATGGAGTGTTGAAGGACTACGCAGAGGTGCTGAGATGAATGGGTGGACGTGCAGAGTCCTCAAGGATACAGACATAGCGCGACTGCGTGAAAGTCTCTCAGTGGACGATTCCTACTTCCAGCAAGCGGATCTTCTCGTCTTTCAGACAAGCAACGAGAGTGCTGAAGCGGACTATGCGTTACTTCCATCGCCTAAGCCACCTGTTCGACACGTCAATCTAGGCTTGCTGCCTTCCTCCAAGCTGTCATGGGGTAATGCGGTTGCAATGCTTGACAAGCAGCTTGGGGGATGGATTCATGTGCATGAGAACGTGGGCGTCGTCGATGTCGAAACAAGGCGAAAGGTTGTAGAAGCGGAATTCCAGAGTCTGGCGGACAAGAGGGACGCCGCAACGAGAAGGAAGGTTCTGGTGGAACATGTGGAGAAAGTGAAGATGTACGCACCTGGAGTTGTGCACTGTGTTTTTGATGTTGTTATTGGAGGCGATATTTGAGAGCCGTGGAGAGCCGCTTCTTGTCAGCACCACGAGAGGACGGCTGATGTTTGGAGGTGGTCATCAACTAAAGATCTGAATAGACACCACATGGCTTTACATCACACCAACTGTTACTTTCACATGCCATGGCATTCATGCTTGTTAAATGCACCAATTGTAAAAATAGTAGTAGATCTGATCAGTCTATTGATGGTATCATGGTTTCCACGCCTTGTGTCTGCTAGATATGATGATATCCCCTCAGCAGCACATCGGATCAAAGCAAAACTCCACCCTGGATGCCGAAAGCAAAGGTCGCAACCTCGCTGTGAGAGTATTCCAACGCCCGCTAAAACGCAGCAAAGACCAAAAGGCAAAGTTCCAAAGGATATAATACATAGATGGCAAAATCTGAAGTCGCCATGGTAGGAGAGTCGGCACCCTGTTGCCGCGTTCATTCGACCTCTGTCAGCCACCTTCGAATTCCCTCTTTCAGGGAAGAGTCGTTTTCGGTTCTTGGGTGAGAGGTCTTGGTTGTCTTTGTCGTTTTTGTATGACCACCTTCCTTAGGAGGCTGTCGACCTCCGCGCTCAGTGGCTACGTCTTTGACGACAACTTCCAACGCTTCGAACAGCACGCTTTTACAGTCAACATGCGGTACTTCGACGTGTGGAACCGCATCTGACTCCGCTCGTGTATCGCGCCGACCCCTTCTGCTGCTTGATCGTGATGACTGGGCAGAGTTGACACGAGTCACTTCACCAGACTGTGCCAGTACACGGTCCACACCATCGATGAGGGTAGAATCGAAGTCCATGATGATTTCCTCATCGAACTTTTCAGCGAGGTGAACTTCAGTCATCATTGGAACAGCGCTACCTGAAGTATACGGATTGCCGTAACGCGAGTGGCCGGGTGCCAAACCAGTAACGCCTGGCGTCATGGCCGATGACTGGTAGGTAGGTGTGGGTATCAGCTTGACAAGGCGTCGTAAGCTAATGCGCTTGATCGAAAAGGAACTCGTGTCAGCGATAAGAGCAGAACATATGTCCATCCAGCGTTCAAGTGGACCAGACTCCAGACTAGGTGTGGTCACGGTACTCAAAGGTGTTGGCTCCGCGCTCATTGCCCGCTTGATGTCTCGTTCAAGGTAGCGATATGGTTTGATAGCCTGAACAGCGAAGTCAGGATGAAATTGACTCAGCCACCCAGCAACGTTGACAGGCTGCTCTGGCTCTCCGTGAGGCGTTGATAGAACAGAAGACTCGCCAAAGCTGGAGCCCGGTTGACTTGAAGCTGACCCAAATCCTCCCAACAGTGGGGACTGCAGAGGGGAGTCGAAGTCGGGGAGCGGCAGGTCAACGTCGATAACGCCATCCTTTTCATTGACTGACAATTTCAAATGACTTTCAAAAGTCTTCTGACGCTCGGGTATGGGCCGCGCTGCAGATGCAGGGACACCGGAAGTGCCACCATTAGAGTAAACACTGAGAGAGTCTTTTTCGCCGGAGTCAGGTGGGAACGGAGAATCGACGGCATCGCTCTCGAAGACACGGTCCATAGAAAGTTCCTGTACCATGTGCTCGAGCTGCGATCGAGGGCGCTCTTGCCCACGAAAGCCCACGCCAT